TTTTTTTTTACACAATCACAAACCACAACCTAAGAAAAAGATCATGACATTCAAACACAACCCCTAGAAGACCAAATGAACCAACTTCTGCAGATTTTTTTCTTCGTTGTTAAACAAGTTAAACAAATACTCCAGCACTGTACTTGCTTCCCTCTAGCACCCCATTCGCAGAAATATATGTACATTACTTTGGTAAACAGTTTCAAGCTGCAGGCTTAATTTCTTGTGTGGATGGTTTTCAGGCGAAAGCTGAGAATTCTTCCCATTTCATCTAAGTGGTTCAAGTCTGATTCACTCAAGTTTTTTTTTCTCCTTGCCACTGTCAACAATTTTTTACTCTTGGGAATTTGGGATTTGTAACGTGAAACACAGTCCACGAGAGGAATGGATAAGAGCTATTTTGAGCTTCTGAAATATCGAACATGGGACTTTTACAATGAACAAAAATATATTCAGCTTTATTTCTATAAAACTGGGCAACGGATGTACGGATCAGATATTTAAATTTGGGAATACCTTTTCTGAGGAAGAAGAGAATGCGCTGTCAAACTGACTGTTCAAGTTAACAGAAGAGGCGAAATTCCTGGAGGAGAGACGTTGCTCCACGAGATGTTTTTTGCTCAGTGAAGACTTATCACTGCTATATGGTTTCTTCTGACATTGGCCTGAGACTCCTGGCACCCTAGAGCATCTAAACATGTGGGAGCAAGGGTTGGGGAAGGGGGGGTTACAGTGTTAAAATGATATTACTCAGCAAATGCTTGCTTTAATTACACTCTGTCTAAGACAAGCAGATATTTAAAGCTATGAATGCAACAATATTTCAAGAATTCTTGGACATGTATTAAATACATGCAAAGGGTTGCAAACTATTGCGCATTTTGTAGGGCCTCAACATTTCAGTAAATTATTTAAACTAGGAGTGCCCAACCAGTCGAAGATTGCAAAGGATGTGGGGGAAGAAAAAAAAATAAAACATTTTTTCTTTTGGGGAGGGGGAGGGGCACATTTTATTATATATTTTGAGTTGGGGTGCACAACAGCTTGCGTACCCTATCAGTCTTACATCCACCAAAAGTTTTTAAAAAATGTAGGTCATCTTTGACCTAGATATAGCATGTGACTCGCATGACAGGAAGTAAACAGATGTTACTTAAGGCTGGAAAAGGTGTGTGGGTTTACAATGTTGACACAGAACTGGTCGATCGCGGAAAGTTGGCTACTTGAAAAGTAGATCTTGCGTCTAAAAAGGTTCGGAACCCCTGATTTAAACAATACCTACCACAAGAAGTGCAAGGTTGATAACTTACATGAATAAAAAAATAGCGTGTAGGAAAATCTTTGGATGCAGGACACGGACTCCTGTTCAAGTTTCTCTAACAAGGCTATTAAATGTACTGAAAAGTAGATGGTATCTTGTTACCCGTCATCAGTGGTGTCGCAGGTAAGCTTTGGGTTGCTTTTCGAGCTCTGGATGAACCTTTCTGACATTAAAGGGCAGGGACGCTGGCCTATCCCTGAGGGCTGAGTCAAGCCTGCTCCATGCTCTTCTGTTGTAAGCACCTACAGGATGAAATTTGAATATGTTAGGAAAGTGTATCTGTGTGTCAACTTTGTGAAGCATTCAAGGAGACATACTATGCATATTTTTCAGACCTCAATAGCACCAATATTTTCATTTCATACCTCTCAGGTCTATCTGAGAAACTCTGAAGGATTTCGGTACTTTTTCAAACCTGGTCACACACTACGAAGATCAGATCCCCCATTCCCAGAGAAGCAATTTGAAGTGCAGTGAGGAATACACTGATTAATAACACCTTTTGCGGTTGGTAACATGCTTTTAATTTCAAACATAAATTGGTTTTCCACACCATCCCTCAGGATACTGCTGTCCTACATAGCCTTATGCATGAACCTGCTCAGATGAGGGGTGAAACATCTAAGGCCATTCGCTTACATCGAAGGTCATTTTCGATTTTTTTGCAATGTGAACCATACAATTCAATTTTTTTTTTCAAATCTGACCCGGGTGTCTTTCATATGTAGGCATTTATCAAATAGGCATCAGATGCGTCTGCAATATGGGCCCTCAGGTCACGCTCATCCAACAGACACGTCATCAAAAGCCAAAGATGGGCGGAACACAGGAGGGGGAGAGTGCTTTGGATAGACTGCTCATGATCGTCCTTGTATCCGTAAAGCGACGAGTAATGGTGTTAATTTTAGATTTAATTTGACACTTGAAGCAAAGAATAAAGTGGACTTTTATGCGATAGTAATAACTCAGACAGTTCATTTATTATGCAAGTCAATGACATGATGTCATTTTGAGTAGAGGTCTCCATGAAATGAGGACAGAGGAGAGTCGTCTCATTTCCCCCAAAATCTTTCTCCCTCCCCCGCCTCGCTACTCTGTCAATATCCAAATCTAATCGATTGGATCTCTGTTGCAAGGTGCAAGCATGTAAACACAGGAGTGAGGTCCTAGGAAGGTACAAAGAGAGAAATGAGGTGAGCCCGAACAGACAGCGCCATATTTACTTCCGTAAAAACTGCGCCATCTGGTCATGTTTTGTGCACATGCGTGTCACTCGACATTGTCTTTTGTGCAAATGCCTGTCACTTCACGGATGCATTCCATTCACATCAAAAGTTGCACTTGTTTGGTGATGTGAACGACTGCATCAAAACACTTAAAAAATCTGAATCAGGCATCACTCCCTGCAATGTGAATGTAGCTGGGATGACTTTTCATATGTGCATACAGGGCTTGGGTAGAATTTAGGCGCTTTCTTGGGACATCTTGGGTGTTTCAGAAAGAGCTCGGAAACAATGATTGACAGAGGATGTGTTCACCATTAAATTCTGCCAATTGTTGAATTTTCAAATACATGAATTCCAGAGCGGCGAACCATGACTTGGGCAGTGGAAGACTGTATAGCAATAAATAGATGGCAAATTTAAAAACAATGTTTTGACCAAATAAAAACAAAAAACAAAAAACCAAAAAAACATGTTTAATGTAATGAGATCAAAAACAAGAACTGCATAAATCTTTCAACGTGCAAATATCATTTGGCTCAGTTATTATGGACAGAGGAATTCATTTAACAATAATTGGCGGTTGCATATGTTGTTTGCAGTGTCATGGGGCTACATCGAGAGCTGTGTCCAATTTTGCAGCAAGACAGTCGGTGAAACAGTTTAGGTTTTGCAGTGCAGTTGTGCACTAATGTTAAATACAGAAGGCATATGTGTGAGGCGACTCAGGTTGGGGTGGTCCAGTCAACTAGCTTGTGAAACTGGACACTCTTGGCTAGTGTTGCAAGGGTGCAAAACTTAAGTACACAAAAATTCAACAGAAGTTTTTCTGAAAACTGAAAAATTGTGACTTACTGAAGAGAGGGTTTGAATGGTCATCTCATCATCTTTCAACCAGGGTTTTGATGGGCAACAGATTCTCCTGATGAACAGATTATTCCACTTGTTTCTCAGGTCAAACACCATTTCTGCTGACTGACAAGATATTCCAAAGTCATAATAAGACCTGTAAGTACTGGATACAAAAACTAAGATTGCCTATTTGAAACAAGCACAGTACTAAAAATAATGCAAGATTTTTTTTTTTTTTTTTGCTGGAGTAAATTTGATAGATTAAATTAGTTGTTCCAAGTAAACTACTGATCAATCTTCAATTTATAATGGACGATAACTTAGAAAAACCCTGGTTGGTCATTGCAATTTACTTCAGACTACGATTAAATAATTTGGGTTGAAATGCAACTACACCATCAAACCTGAGAGCTGGCACAACAAACTAACTATGCTATAGCCTTTGACTCAGTTACTCAGTCTTGATGCTCCTCGTGGGTTTAAGCTACTCAGCCTGGATTCCAGTTCTATTGGCAGATGCTTTGTCTGAATGCTCTGTGACATTTCCACAGATACTTACATTGCATCTGGATAGTTCCCGTCTCAATCGCTCAGTTAAGATGGGTGGTGATCAGCAGAAATCAAACATGCCCTGGCTTAATTTTTAAGCTTCATGGCAACGGCTACGAATGCTATCACTTATTATTTATTTATCATTTCAAACAATTTGAATTTACAAAAAAAATAAATCTGTATAGTTATGGAGCGTGAATAGCATTTGTCCTTTGATAAAATAGATTATTTGTCTCTAGAATTCAGTCTAACAGTTAACATATTAATTGTAGACTAATTAGTTTGTACACTCTGATAGCACATATTGAAAGATAGCTATCGTCAATTTCTCCACACCTCACTGTTTGTCTGGAAGATGAGCCACTCATCAATTCTCAACTCGGCGGCGTCGGCGTCCTCTGTCTCACTGTCACTCATATCATCCACTGGACTGTCTGAAGGACAGAACATAAGACTAAAGAGGCAGCATATTTTGAATCAACTCCAACAAAATAAACCAACTTTTGCCAATGGAATAAAAGGAGAACAACACAAACTTGTCGAGCTCTCACAAAAGTGTTCACATGACCACCACAGATACAGTAATCCCTCGTTTATCGCGGTTAATGGGGACCAAAACCACCCACGATGAACGAAAATCCGCGAAGTAGCGTCCAATTAACATAAACAGGTTAAAAAAAATAACTTTTTTTTTTAAGTCCGCAAACGGTCCGCGAGAAGCTGCTAAACAACAGCGAGTCACATAGAGCAACATATACAGTACTGTACTTCATGTATATATTAAAAAAAAATAAATAAATAAAAAATTTAACATGTTTGAAAAAATCCGCGATGCACTGAACCCGCAATTAATGAACCGCGAAGTAGCGAGGAATCACTGTACATTGTAGCCTACTTCACTTTGGCTGATAGATTCTATTTTATGTGATTTCTTGATTCAACAAATGTAATGCCTGGGTGTTGCCTGTGGAAGTGAATTCAGCTTTCGCAAAACTGTCATTAGTCAGTTACTTTGTCATTTAACATAGGGGGGGCAATGACTTTTTCACATTGGGACAGGTAGTTTGGGATTTTTTTTGTGTGTGTGTGTGTGTTTGGTGTATTTCTTTGGGTAGTCAGTCTGTGTGATATTAAAAGTGGTTTGATGAAATGAGACCTTTGTATGTGATAAATATGCAAAGAACACAGAAATCAGGAAGGGGGCAAATACTATTTCACAGCACTGTATCAATACATTTTTTTTAAATGTTTTTTTTTTTTTTTTAGATCACATAACAATGAGTAAAAACAAGTCAGAACTTCAGCAAGAATAACTTCTTGCAGATGATGTCCAATCAGACGTATTGTCTCACCCAAATGAATTAGAAATGTCACAAAATGTCCCTATCTGGCTAATAGCTCTTGCATTTCTTTTTTAGACCACCACCCAATGTTGTTGTCGCTGTAAATTTACATTCCTGATAATTTACTAAATCTTGTTCCCCGTGTCAAGGAAAATGTAGAGCTCATTCCTCAAAATATTTGTAATGCTAAAATCTAAGCTTAAAAAACCAAGTGTTGCTTCTTGATAAAGAAATTATGTGACTGAACATAAAAATAATTAGTTGGATGCTGTTTGAATTATTTGTGACTTCTCAGAGAAGCTGGTTCAAATATGGCAGTAAAAAGGTGAATTCAGTTAGAAATCCATCTTTCCTTTTCAAAATGGCGATATGATGAGATCTGGCTGAAACTGAAACCATTAGAGCACTTAATGATGCTGCTTGCTTGATGGTCTTGCTTTATAACAGAACATTTTGTCATTTTTTGCACTTCATTTTGCTTTGTAAGTCATTTGGCAAACTACAATTAAGTCAATGTTGCAGATAACGTAGCTACAAAAACAGCAGGTGGATTTGTGATTTTAAAATCCGGTACATGTGTACTTTGTTTTGCTTGCGTAAGAGTACCTTTCTGAACAGTAGCTTCATGCAGGGCAGAGCAAAGATGTCTGGAACCGCCTGCAAATATGGCTACAGTGATGGCTGTCACCAAAGTACAACAGCGAACACTGGCAATCCTGTGGCCTCTGCTCATCTCATCATAGACCAGCCAGTCTGTGGGAAGGCCCTGTGGTTTAGTTGAATTACCCTGGAGAGAATTAAACAAACAAAAAAAAAAGGCATTTGATTTACAGTACTACAAAACCCCATTCCTGTGAAGTTTGGATGTTGTATAAAATGTAAATAAAAACAGCATACAATGATTTGCAAATGTTTTTCAACCTATATTCAACTGAATACCCCACAAAGGTAAGATATTTGATGTTAAAACTCATGTCAGTTTCGTTCTTTTTTTTTTCTTCCATATATTGTCATTTTGAATTTGATGCCTGCAACATGCTCCAAAATACGACAGAGTCCCCTGAACTGTTGAGCAAATTCAGTTGGAAAGCAAACAAGAATGGGAAAAAAATTCCACCTACAAAGCTTCAACCATTAGGCTACATTCACATTATAGTGCATGGTGTCCAATTTGGAATTTTTGTGAAATCCGATCTTTTTATGTACTCACTCACACTCCAAAAACAAATTGCCACTCCTAATGTGAACGGAACCCGTCCATGATTTAACACGGAAGCACACAAAGCATGTCAAGTACTGTAATGTGCAAAACAAAAAAAGTGTCTGGTCCCATGCGTAGGGGCTCATTTTATCTCAGATTGACAGAGTAGTGAGGTGGGTGGAGGTAAAAATATTTGGGGATATAAGGCGACGCTCCTGATTTCATGTAGATTTCTACTAAAAATGATGTCACGTCATTGCCGCGGGTAACAAATGAACCCATTGCATGGATGGACTTGTACTCTCACTTTATCCTTCATGTTCCAGGTGAGATGAAATTAAAGTCAAACATAAAGTCAACTTTTACTCAAAACAAATTTGCAGATTCACTGCCCACACTGTTTTTCGCAAATGTCCAAATGGGATCTGGCCCTGTTTCAGACTAAGCCACGTTATTGAACCATTTGACAGGTTGCCGTATCAACGATGTTTGTATTTTGCATCCATACCCACCGAAATAATTATTTTGTTCCAAAAGAATACAGTAACTTCATCTACATACCTCCTTGTTCTGGGACTGATTCAATGTGGACGTAGGGTGAAAATTGACTTTCTTCTCCTTATTACTAGAGGGCAGGTTTGTCTCAGGGTTAATATGAAGCAGATTTGCGTACATGCCAGCCACCAGGGCCGCCTTCACCACTGCCCAGTTTTCTGAGTTGATGTTCACACCACGTACATCACTTTCTCCGTGGGCCCTCACAAAGCCTTGAGGAAAAATGGGAATAATGTCAGGAGAATTCATTCCACTTCAATAGATTCAAATATTTCAGGATGCCAATTCAAAGAAATGCATAGAAACAAACACTGGGGGCCTTTGAAGATTTTAGTGTAAATTAGAACGGACCAGTTGCACGAAGCTGTCTCAGCAGTTGTGTTCGCATGCCAAGAATCATTTCCATGGTGGCATTGGACAAAAAGTTCTTTTCGCAGAAGGACCTCTCCAAGCCATCATTGCGAGCCTTCTGCCATGCCTGACAAACCAAAAGCAATGTCATGTCAGTACAGCATATCCATGTATTTTAGAGGTTTAGAAAAAATTATACATTCGGTGTTCTGTGCGCATTGATAAAAATGTGAGTTACTGTTGAATTGGGTGCTCAATAGACAATTTAAAGTACCTGGAAAATTCTCAGCATGGTCATTTGGTCACTGAAGGTGTTGGAAGAATAATGTTTACAGCACTGAAGAGCAGCTCTCTTCTGAGAGCCCTGGACAGGAAGAACAAAGGGGTCCCGATAACCTAGTGTACAGGCAATTGTCAAAATGGGGTCGAGACACCTCAGCACCACAGCACATAGCACCATCTTTCCCAGATGGGGCTCAACAGGTAGATCGGCCAGATGGAAGCCAAGAGCAGTCAGGTCTTCATTCTGGTTCATTGCATCTATTGTCTGATGAAAAAGACGAGGTTGAAACAAGACGGAAGATGTGTGGGTGTGGTGCATTGTGAAGCAATCATCATCATCAGTTAACATTCCTGACCTTAAGCATCTGCACGGCACTTTTTACAGCGTGTGCGGTAGGAGGTTGTGGAGCTTTGGACAAAAACTCTGATACTGGAGAGGGAGTCAGCAATTTGGTCTGCAGACATAATTCCTAACACACACACACACACACACACACACACACACACACACACAAACACACACAAAACATGACAGTTGAAAATTAAAAATGAATGCCTTGTGAAGGAATTTTAGAATCAGAATCAGAATCATCTTTATTGGCCAAGTATGTAGAACACAAGGAATTTGTCTCCGGTATAACACGCTGTATTAGTATCATCATAAACAAGGACATGACAAATAGGTATGGAAGGACATTTCGTAATGTAAGTGAACCGTAGTGCGGTGGTACCACCCAGTGACAACTGTGAGACAATGTGCAAAGTATCAAGCAGAGCTAAAGTGATCAGTGGTAGAATACAATACTATGACAATTGTACAGTTGGTGCAGAAAATCATTGACCCATTTTAGAGTGACCAGTAGTAGTATTTGTTGTACAAGAAGAGTGACTACGTCAGTGACTGTTTAGGGAGTTATTGGCGAGAGGGAAGAAGCTGTTTAAGTGTCTGCTGAATTTGGTGCGCATGGATCTGTAGCGCCTGCCTGAGGGGAGTAGCTAGAAAAGGTGGTGGGCAGGGTGCGGGGGATCCAGGAGGATTTTCCGTGCCCTTGTTTTGATTCTTGAGTGTGCAAGTCCTCAAGAGTGGGTAGTGCGGTGCCAATGATTTTTTCCGCCGTCCTAACTGTCCGTTGAAGTCGGATTTTGTCCTTTTTTGTGGCGAGTGACATGTGAAAAGATAGCACCAAACGCTTGGTTCCTTTTTTTCCACGGGAAAACGCCCAATATGTAGCGTCATGTATGACATAAGTGCCTTGCCCGTCACAGTCACTGGTAGTGTAGTGGTAAAACTGCAGGCTTTCAGTGCAGTCAGTGCAGGTTCAAAACCTGCTCAGTATCGTGTGAAAATAAAACTTTAAACACGTAGTTATTTTTTTCCATGGGAAAACCCCAATATGTCGCGTCTTATATGACCAAAGTACCTTGCCATTCACAGTCACTGGTAATGTATTGGGAAACTCTCTGGCTTTCAGTACACTCAGCGCTGGTTCAAAACCTGCTCAATATGATGATGTTCTTCCCAGTCTCACCTGTTGTGTCCGTCCCGTCAGGAAGCTGAGGATCCACTGGCAGATCGTAGGGGACACACCGAGGTGGAGAAGTTTGGGGGTGAGGAGTTCCGGGATGATGGTGTTGAACGCAGAACTGAAATCCACAAACAGGATCCTTGCATAGGTCCCTGTGCTGTCGAGGTGCTTGAGGATGTAGTGCAGGCCTATGTTGACTGCGTCCTCCATAGGTCATTATTCCATATCATTTAGGTTCTATCCAGGTCGGAGACAATTGTTTGCTGTTCTTCATGTTCCACTGTAAAATGGGATTTTATATGTATGTATATGCAATTGCTAATTATGAGTTTATATTACGTTATTTCAGATAAAACATACTCATGTTCTTCCCTGAGAATTACAGTTGTGCAATATAATGATATATATATTAGTGGTGTCAAATGCATTTTTTGTCGTGGTCCATTTGGGACTTACATCCTATCCTCCCTTGGAGGGCTGTTACAACAGTGAAACCGAATACTGTACTGTAAATGTTTAAACATCACATCGTATAATTACTTGGACACAACAAACTGATGAATTACTAGTTTTGAAATAAGTCAACTATTTTGTTTGTTGAAGTATTGTTCAAGTGAGTGTAAACAGGGGAACAAAATTATCGCAAAATCCCAACATAATTCATTACAATTTGACATTTCGGTCCAGATTTTAGCAAGGATCAAGAAAGTTGAGGCACATGACTTGCTTTCGCGGGCCTCATAAAATGATGTGGCAGGCCAAATGTGGCCCGCAAGCCTTGAGTTTCGCACCTGTTATATACACTATATCTTAGAAACGTAAAATATATCGGAATTTCATTTAAATCATGAATTGTGTATTTATTCTTTTATTTTTAATTTCTATTATTTTTTCATTTTATGAATAGTTTTTTCATTTTATGGTGTGGTCTATATAAAATGCATATTTTAAAAAGAAATGGGTGAAAAGATCCCAGAATTCCTCTATTTGCTTCAATTAATATTAATCAGATTCTGATAATAGTAACGTGACGGCTTTAACTTGACCTGAGTTCGTCTCTGGTGTTTATGGTTCTGTGTTGCCAGCATGTTTGGACATGGGCACAATAGTCATATATAGTCGTCACAGCAACAAACTTTACTTTTTGATATCAAAATTGAAAATGGGTTCTACCTGCAGAGGCATCCGTAGCAGCTGTGGAACCTGATACTCTTGCATATTGTTGAACCGTAGTTGACTGAAGAGGTGGAAGCAAATTCCTGGTTGGCAGCGCCCCGCTCTGTGGACATGCTCGATTTTCAGTTCCTTGTTCCATATTGTCAAACACTTACTTTTTGTCACTGAGTAAATGGACACAGCTACAGTGGTACACCTCTACTTACGAACATCTCTTCATATGAAATTTTCAAGTTACGAAATGCCTCAACAGGAAAATATTGCCTCTTGTTACAAAAGAAATTTGAAGATACGAAAGGTAAAAATACAGCATGGGCTACTCGCAGCTCCGAGTTTCCTGAACGCAACATACTTATAGCTCCTCTGCCATTGGCTGTTAACATCTTCCTGGCATCCCATTGGCTAAGAGGGACCTCTACTGGATGTGTCTGTGTGTAGATGGATAAATAAGATATACTGTATATGTGTCTATGCAGCATACTTGTCATTTGCCCCTTGGACCATGAGGCTTTACGATAGTTTTACGTAAATGTGAATCACCCAGAAAAAGTGTTCACCAGTCGGGCGCTCGCTCACTATGCTGATGTTTGCCTTGGACATTTTTGAAGGATTGTTAAAAGCCGACAAAAGCAAATGTCCTTGGATCAGTTATTTACAAAACGCCAGGCAAAAACCACTTGAACATGAATTAAAGAGGGCAAAAAACGATGAGGGCGCAGTTACAAGTTAAATGACCACCAATTTTATTCTTTATTCTCTTCTTAGTTTTTTACATTATGCACAACTCTCATTTATTGGGCAATAATCTAACTGTAACATGCATTTGTTACATATTTTGATGCATTTTTATTCTTAAGAAAACAAATGTCTGAATTTTGGCGGGGCTTGGTACGGATTAGGGCATTTACATGGAAAAGGCGTCTCTGCTTACAAAATTTTCTAGCCAAGAATTTTTTTTCCAGAACCAATTCATTTCGTAAGTAGAGGTACCACTGTATACAAGTTTCAGATGACAGGGGGCCATCTTTGCATGTGAAACATAAACACTAAAACTTGCCGTCTTGAGTGTAAATGCAAATGCACTTTGTGACATGAATTGAAACATACATTTGAAAAAAATACGTAATTAAGTAAGTAGAGGTACCACTGTATTTCAAATGTAGATCAATCAAAATACAATCTGAGGAGCAGAAAGTTTTGATTCCATGTGCAACGGATCTTTAGTTTAGCACTAGCTTTTTGGATTGATTGTACTTGTAAGAAGTTACTGTGCCTTTGGAATTTTATGTTCCATAAAATTGCAGCATGAAACTAACTTGAGGAGAGACAACATTTGAAAACAACAGAGTTGTGTTAGCTCACCACTGGAACCGCAATTGCTAAAACAAACTCTGAATATGGACATAATTGTTGTTACCTTCCACTTCGTTGAAGAGCACTGGCTTTTGAAATCCAGACTGTCTTTAACATTGACATGCGACTGATGGTATCAAATGATTTCTACAAAAGAAGAAGAGGACGTTTGTTGACAGATACTTTTATCTATTGATAAACTGGAGTTCTTGGGAAATCTTTTGGAAAATGTTCGTACCTCTTTGACTCTTCCAGAATCAATCACAAAAACAACATCATTGATGGTGATGCTTGTCTCGGCAATGTTGGTAGAAAGAATCTGGGAGGCGAAAAATTGCAATGGATCCATTTTGGCTAGCTCAAGGTCATTTAACATACAGTATGTATTACATGTGTCCCAACACTTCAAATCAATTAGAAAATCCAGCTACAACGACAGTTTCCTTTGGAACCAAAACATGTATCCTCTTCATGTCAATACGGAGACAAAGACTTACAATCTTTCTAACATTCAGTGGAGTCGTCTTCATGGCTTTTTTCTGTTCAATGCTTGGCATGTCCGAATGAAGTGTGAACACCTGGTACCTGAGAGGAAAATATACTCTGTCAGACACAGTCTTCAGAATGATGCTACAATTGACATGAATGGTTCTGTGACGATCATCCAGGACAATATTGAATGGCAGCAGTGAGCCATAGGGCCAGTAAGGCCTTCTCTGTTGGTCTAAAGACTATCAGAAGCACTGATCTATATTTTCAATCACAACCAGAGATGGGCAACTGGAGGCCCGTGGCCCTTGAACTCTTTTCATGCACCCTGTAACCTGATCACATGATAAGGTGTCCACTGTTGTAACCGCTGTCCCTGAAAGGGTTAAGAATTTTTTTTTAACCTTACAATATGCTACCTCTGCCACTTCAGCCCTAAATTATAACAGTACTGCTCACCACTGGATGGTAAACTTTATTATTGTAGCACTCCTGGCACTCAATCTCTGCTTGAGAGGGAGATTATTACCATGAAGACAATTTTAGTACACACTATGTATCTTTTGCCTCAACCTTGAACTACAATTGAACTGCACTAGTCGGAGTTTTACTGTATTGCACAAGTCACAGTTTACAACGTGCAACACAAATTTAACTCACTAGTGAAGACACACAGTCAACAAACTACAGGTAACATAGCGGTACACTTCAGCTGTGTGAGATAGAAGGGGAATAAAGAAATCCTGGAAATCACACTGCAGGATTATTAAAGAAATTATAGCATGTGTAAATTACGTTGGAAAATAACTAAGTATTGGGTCAATAACAAAATCTTGACTATTCCGAATACAACCTTTGTTAGAAATTATACTATGTTAACACTGTCTTTGTATTAGCCTCCTTGAACTCTGCCAAAATTTCAGGCTTCAAAAAAAAAAAAAAAAAAAGAAGTAAAATTGGATTCCTTTTGTAAAGAATCAAGACCGAGAGGGGCAACAAATGTGAAATGGAATGACACATATGCTATGTGAAACTTTTTTCTGTTTCAAAAGAAATTGAAAAGTAGTGCGTGCAAAATTATTCACCCTTTTTTCTCAGTGCAGCCAACTGACTCTACAAGTTCTCAGATGATTTCTGAATATTCCAGTGTTTTCAGTAAAAAAACAAAACAGTAAAAAATGTGGTTTAAATTTTGTTCAACTTCCTGACTGTGTCACACATGGTGTTGATTCTTCACACAAAAAAATTAAAAAACAATTTCACATCTATTTTTGAAGCCTGTAATGTCGCAAAAGGTCAAAAAGTTCAAGCGGGGGCAAAGACTTTTGCTAGGCACAGTAAGCCTTGTATCACTGTCAAAGGATGACAAAGGATGCATTTCAAAATATTGAGTCTAACTTTAGTTATTTGCATACTATACAGTATTTATATTTTGCCATGTGTGGCTTATCGCAACCGGGGGGTAAATAGAGGTAAACTGCACTCCGCTGTTAAACCTCGTGGGCATGTTTGTGGCTGCTATGTCACTAGCGCCGTTGAAGTGTCCTTGAGCAAGTTACTGAACCCCCAGTTGCTGTCATCAGTAGGTGAATGAGGCAACGGTGTGAATCGCTTTGAGTGCCCAAGGTAGAAAAGCGCTATACAAGTGACAGCCCTTTTCTCATTTAGTTATATGAAATACTGTACTTTGCCAATTGGAATAAACAGAACACTGTCACAATTGCATCCTACATACGATAAGTAATGAGGAACTGCCAACAGAGACACCTGCGATCCAATCAAATTTCCTATTTGTTACATGAAATACCACTCAATTTAAACCAGCAGTGTTTGGTGCACTATTAAACGTTACATTAGCATGAATCATCTTACCAAATTATTTTACATTTTACCTTTTGGAAACGGTGGAAAATCTCTTGTCATTATAGAGGATACGGTCCCTGAGCGACACAATGTCATCATATCCAGGAAGAAAAATTAGCACTGCGCCTGAGACAAACAGATATGATCACATTTAAACAGATTTACAAGTACAATGAAGGATAAAGGTGGTACATAATCAACAAGATTTGAATCTACATAACTGGCAAAACAACTATCAATTATTTCATGCACTGTATTGCTTTTGCATTTTGAATCCCCACCTTTTATTGATGCAAATATTTACAAATAGTACTTCCTTGTAATGAATGAGTTGAGAGTGGATTCAATACATAGACTCGCATGGGAGCATTGTTGAATAATAAAAATATTTTTACAAATAGCCAATATGTGTCCTTTTTTTGCGTGCTGTTATAAATGGTAAACTTGAACAATTTTTTTTTTGTTTGTTGACAGATACTTTTATCTATTGATAAACTGGAGTTCTTGGGAAATCTTTTGGAAAATGTTCGTACCTCTTTGACTCTTCCAGAATCAATCACAAAAACAACATCATTGATGGTGATGCTTGTCTCGGCAATGTTGGTAGAAAGAATCTGGGAGGCGAAAAATTGCAATGGATCCATTTTGGCTAGCTCAAGGTCATTTAACATACAGTATGTATTACATGTGTCCCAACACTTCAAATCAATTAGAAAATCCAGCTACAACGACAGTTTCCTTTGGAACCAAAACATGTATCCTCTTCATGTCAATACGGAGACAAAGACTTACAATCTTTCTAACATTCAGTGGAGTCGTCTTCATGGCTTTTTTCTGTTCAATGCTTGGCATGTCCGAATGAAGTGTGAACACCTGGTACCTGAGAGGAAAATATACTCTGTCAGACACAGTCTTCAGAATGATGCTACAATTGACATGAATGGTTCTGTGACGATCATCCAGGACAATATTGAATGGCAGCAGTGAGCCATAGGGCCAGTAAGGCCTTCTCTGTTGGTCTAAAGACTATCAGAAGCACTGATCTATATTTTCAATCACAACCAGAGATGGGCAACTGGAGGCCCGTGGCCCTTGAACTCTTTTCATGCACCCTGTAACCTGATCACATGATAAGGTGTCCACTGTTGTAACCGCTGTCCCTGAAAGGGTTAAGAATTTTTTTTTTAACCTTACAATATGCTACCTCTGCCACTTCAGCCCTAAATTATAACAGTACTGCTCACCACTGGATGGTAAACTTTATTATTGTAGCACTCCTGGCACTCAATCTCTGCTTGAGAGGGAGATTATTACCATGAAGACAATTTTAGTACACACTATGTATCTTTTGCCTCAACCTTGAACTACAATTGAACTGCACTAGTCGGAGTTTTACTGTATTGCACACAAGTCACAGTTTACAACGTGCAACACAAATTTAACTCACTAGTGAAGACACACAGTCAACAAACTACAGGTAACATAGCGGTACACTTCAGCTGTGTGAGATAGAAGGGGAATAAAGAAATCCTGGAAATCACACTGCAGGATTATTAAAGAAATTATAGCATGTGTAAATTATGTTGGAAAATAACTAAGTATTGGGTCAATAACAAAATCTTGACTATTCCGAATACAACCTTTGTTAGAAATTATACTATGTTAACACTGTCTTTGTGTTAGCCTCCTTGAACTCTGCCAAAATTTCAGGCTTCAAAAAAAAAAAAAAAAAAGAAGAAAAATT